ATCCTGTGACACATGCCCTGGGGGGGTAACTTCAGCCCCTGGGGATGGTGACAAGTCAGTTAAACAGAAAAACTAAAAGCCCTGACTAACTTGCTGACTTCCGCAGTGTCCTTGCATGGGAGATGTAGAGAAATTGGAAACACTCTCAGAGGACAAGGTTTGCTTAGTACATGATGCCTTTGCGCTTGATATTTCCTCTGTTTGGAATATTTTCCCCCATATCTGCCTCAAATTTCCCTTCTATAGTAGGCAGAATAATGCTCCCCTCCCCCCATATGTCCACATAGTAATCCCTAGAACTGTGAATATGTTAGGTTTCATGGCAAGAAGAATTAAGGTTGCAGATGGAATTAAAGGGCTAATCAGCTGACCCTGAGCCGGGGATTATCCAGGTGGGCCCAATATCATCACAACGATCCTTATAAGTAGATCACTGAGACAGCCATGTTGGAAGGATCTGAACTGACATTAATTGCCTTGAAGAGGAAGGAATGGGGATGAAAGTCAAGGAATGTGGGCAGCCTCTAGAAGCTGAAAAAGACAAGGAAATAGAATCTCTCCTACAGTCTCTAGAAGGAATGAAGTCCCACTAACACCTCTCTGTCAGCCCAGGAAGACTCACTTTGGACTTCATACCTCAAAAACTGTAAGAAAATAAATTTGTGTGGTTTTTAAGCCATCAAATTGGGGGTAATTTGTTACAACAGTGGTAGGAAACAAATACACCTCTTTAGCAGTTGATCTCAGCTCCAACGTCATCTTCCTAATAAGACTTTCCTTGACAGCCCTTGCTTGCTAAAATATCTCCCAAACCACCAGGCATTTTCTATAATGCACTTTTTGTTTGCTGATGATTATCTAAATTTATTGTATTTCCATTTTATTGCTGTTCCCTCTCATAAGAATGTAAGTTCTAGAAAGGGTGGGATTTTGTTGCTCTTATTCACCTATGTATCTCCATCGCTTAGGACATGGGAACACAGTAGACATTCAATTAATATTTGCTGTGTGAATGAGCCGTAAGGTAACGAGGACCATAAAACTCATGCCCTTCTAAATCACAATTAGAGGGCAACTGTTAGAAGAGTCCCAAACCCAGTAAGTCCTGTGTTGCAAGGAACTGTCCAGTAGAAAACAGGAATAAAAACAGAATTAGCAAGAATAATATGAAATCAGTTGCTTAATTCCAGGCAGTGGAGGCAGAAATCTTGAATAGTAAATACTCTCCGTGAACAAGTGCAGACAAGAGTTCCGTGATTGCCAGTAAGTAATCAGTTTGGAAAGACCAGAGAGGGGTCAAATATAGGTAAACTGAGTTAATCACATAAACTGCTCAATCATCACAATTCTTAAAAGATCACACACAAAAATACATTAACAGGAGAAAAATAGTAAAACAGGAAAAAACAGTAAAATTACTTTCTTTTACTACTGATGGGGCAGTTTTCTACTGGAAATTCTGAAAAGTATTAGGTTCAGCTAAAGACTGCAGTGTTGATCACGTCTCCAGTATTCCTAGTCTGAAATGAAATAAGCAGACCTGGTACTTAAAAAGACACTTTAAGAAAGGGCTGGCCCCAGAGAGGCAGGATCCGCCTACCCCAGTGAGTGAGGCCGTCCTGACACCTCGTCAACATTCTGGTGTCAACATTCTGGAAAACGGCCTCCAGGCTCATTGCTCCGCCTAGAGCCGCGCCACCTCCTAAGGGTAGCACCGGCTACCCGCTCCGCAGAGCCGACTCCGAGCCGCGCAGAGCTGGAGGGTCGTAGTCCCGAGGGGACCTGAGCGCTCACTCAGTCAGCCAATGGCCACGGAGCTAGGGCGGGACCTGAGAGTATCCTGCCAATGGGAGTACGGCAGGGCTGGAGGCTGGAGTGCCAGGGACTCAGGGCGGCCGTGGCGTTCGCACCCCCAGCTCGGGCAGATGTGGAAACTTTGGGGAGGTGAAGAGGGCGCAGCGGCGCTCGGCGGCGCGCTCTTCTTGCTGCTTTTCGCGCTGGGGGTCCGCCAGCTGCTGAAGCTGAGGAGGCCGATGGGCTTCCCTCCGGGGCCGCCGGGGCTGCCATTTATCGGCAACATCTATTCCCTGGCCGCCTCAGCCGAGCTTCCCCATGTCTACATGAGAAAGCAGAGCCAGGTGTACGGAGAGGTACCGCTCCGACGGGTCCCGGGCAGGGAGGGCCGCCAGACTGGCCCGGGCTGGCCAGGGCCTTCCTGGTTGGACTTATGGCCGCTCGTGAGCCGAGTAATAGGGACCTCTCCACATGCCGGCTGCCCGTTGAGGGACATCCGCTTCCAGGCTGTGGAAGGGAGAAGTCCTCGACGCCGTGCCCCCTGCAAGGGGAGCCCCGCCCCTGCCGGTGACCGACTCCGGGCCGAGGCCCCGAGGCGATCCAGGCCTGATTTTCCCGCTACCGCTCGAGTTCTTGCTCCTGCGCCTGCGCCGTTTGGCTCGCCGGCCGCGGAGCCACTTCAGGTCCAGGTTGGACCCCTGCCCTCAGGGCGGGCGTCTTGCGAGTCGGCCTCGCAGCTCTGTGGAAGCTGCACGCGGCTTGTCGGAAAATTAAGGCGTTCTAAATTCTAGATGGTTAATAACAGGTTCTTCGGTGTTTGCAGTCGATGAACTACTGGTGTAGGCGTTTGCTGTGAGAATGGAGAACGCAGGGGAACGCCCCTAACTGAGAAGCTGGCCCTGGGAAATGATTGTGAACGCGTGAATGAATTGATGACTAAAATCCGCTGCGGGGGTCCCACAGCACAGATGGCAATGCCGTTCTGACTGGCTGGGAACGGCCCCTTAGCAGATACTTAAAAGGCGCCTTCTGTGTGCCACTGTCACTGCCAACTTGGTGACTTATTTAAAACTCACAACCAGCCGGTGAGGCCGGTACTTAGCTCCTCCTCAATCTGCGGAGGAGAAAGCAGCACGGAAATGCCTTGTGACTGGCAGCGGAAAAGGCGACCCCCGCATGTGTGTGGGTGTCCTGAAGTCCGGAGGGGGCAGGAGTTTCCACGGGGCCTGACCAGAGCTTTACCTGTTTTGTTTTGAATTACACTTATTTATATGCAACTACAGGCCTGACGCTAGCGGTGAAAAAGGCAGATACAGCCTTTTAAGGAGTTGGCAGATGAGTGGGAGAGAAAACTAATCTCTTTATCGACCACAGGCTGTGGTCAGTGTTTTGAAGGAAAAGTACAGGGATGTTTGGCAACTGTGGTATTTCAGGTTTGACCTTAAATCCTTACTTAAACCAATTTTTACAAGAATTGGGCTAGGTGCCCGGGCGCGGTGGCTCACGTCTGTAATAGCAGCACTTTGGGAGGCCCAGGCAGGCGGATCACGAAGTCAGCAGATCAAGACCACCCTGGCTAACACGGTGAAACCCCGTCCCTACTAAAAAAATACAAAAAATTAGCCGGGCGTAGTGGGGGCGCCTATAGTCCCAGGTGCTCGGGAGGTTGAGGCAGGAGAATGGTATGAACCCGGGAGGAGGAGCTTGCAGTGAGCTATCTCGCCACTGCACTCCAGCCTGGGCGACAGAGCAAGACTCCTTCTCCAAAAAAAAAAAAAAATTGGTCTAGGTTTCTAGAATAGAAAGTCACTAATGGTTTACGTTCCTTTCACGACTCACTCTAATAGTTTACGTTGTTAAAGGTAAGCTGGACGAGGTAACAAAAGTATGTATAATTCTTAGATCTTATTTTCCAGCCGACAGTTCTCCCAGAATTGAGTTTATTCAAAATGTGAAAGCATAAGACTAGAGATCGGGTCTTCTGCCAGACAAAACTTGACCCCTGTTCTGAGTCTTAGTTTTTTTTTCATCTCGTTAGTGAGAATAACAACAGAAAACAGTAAAGTGCTACTCAAGTGTTCTTGGTTATTGTATGTGTTATTAGTTTCTTTTTTTTTTTTCTTTTTCTTTTTTTTTTTTTTTTTCTTTTTTTTTTTTTTTGAGATGAGTCTCACTCTGTCGTCCAGGCTGGAGTGCAGTGACACCATCTCAGCTTACTGCAAGCTCCGCCTCCCGGATTCACGCCATTCTCCTGCCTCAGCCTCCCGAGTAGCTGGGACCACAGGCGCCCGCCATCACGCCTGGCTAATTTTTTGTATTTTTTAGTAGAGACGGGGTTTCACTCTGTTAGCCAGGATGGTCTCGATCTCCTGACCTTGTGATCCACCCGCCTTGGCCTCCCAAAGTGCTCGGATTACAGGCGTGAGCCACCGCGCCTGGCCTATGTTATTAGTTTCTATACCCAGAACAGGTTTGTTCGACCTCCAAGTTTGAAAGTATTTTTAAACAAGTTATTTGAAATGGTTTCTCACAGAAAAGGGAATTAAACGTTTCTTATATAAGTATTTGAACTGAAAGACACTCCGTATTACTATGAATATTTATTTTGGGCAGGGGGTTGTCTAAGTCCCCTATCATAGGTTACAAATTATAAACGTACTAGACTGTCGTCTTGAGATATTTAGATCGGTTCAAGAGATAAGAATTGGGCATGAGCAGCTAGTTTTATTGCTGGTACCACTTTTGAGGGAGCCATGGTTCTTTACAGAGAAAGCTCTTGACTACAAATGAAATAGGACTAAACTGTTACTAGCTGCAGTGGGGCAGAGGAAAAACTGAAAGGAGCAAACATGAAAAAGAATATGCATCAAAGAGTAGATAGACGTTGTTTGCCTCACTATGCCTTAGGTTTAGTTGATAACCACCAAACATATTAACTCTAGGCTACAGCAGCATTTGATCTTTATCCTGGTGTGAAACATCTCTAAAGATCTCCCATTATTTTAGAGATATATTCCAATTCTGACAAACTCTCAAAGTTGGTATAAATTGTTAAAATACTATACCTTTTTTTGGAAGTGGAAGAAGACTGTTCCCTCCTGTAATTCCGAAAGGTTATGAAAAGTTGTTCCTAGGACTTATTTCTAAATAAAATCTTAGTTTCCCACTGTCTTTTAAATTTGAGATGTATGCTCACAGAAACAAAAACAAAAACAAAAACAAAAACCCCAAAAAACACTGGACTTTAAAATTACTTAGGACAGTCACTTCAGGTGATACCCGCCTTTGTGTTAATCTGTGAATTCAGTTCTGCTTTGTGATTCTTGAAAGTTAAACAGCCAGTCCTCAGGACTTATATATTCATTTTAAAGGCAATCTTATATAGAAGTGTATCACACTGAAAATTACCATTTCCTTGGAGATTCATTCTGAATGTTTAAATTTCTGCAGTAACTTTAATCTTAGTCTAGATTTAGAGAGGCATTCCCTGGCTAGCAAAGCCAATCCAAGTGGCTTTATCAGATTATTTTCAGGTAATGGACTTAAGGACAATAAAATTATTCCATTAAGGCAAGTAGAATTGACAGTGTATTAATTTATTTTTACAGCATTTATTGAGAACTTTGTGCACGGCACTGAATGAGATTCTGTGTAAGGATTCAAAGATGAAAAAGATGAAATCACTGCTCCTAGGGAGTTTATAATTTAGCAGGCAGGCAGAAGACAAGAATATGAATGTTTCTGGTCCAACATAGTGTTAAATAAGTGCCATGGGAGCTTCTAAACTCCCATGTGTGGTTCAAAGCAGAGAGAAAAAGAGTGCCCCAAGAAAGGCATCATGGAGGATCGTCCCTAAAGAGTTGGTATGGTTATGATAGTATGGCAGTCAAGGGAAGCTTTCAAAATGAGGGAACAAACCAAGCAAAGGTTGAAAAGTGTGGCAGTCACTTAATGGTTTTCATCAACAGCACTTTGCACATTTGTCTGTTATTAGCACTTAGCCCATGATGTTATAATAATATGCTTAAATGTATATCTCTACAACTATTCATTAATTCAACATCTATTTCTATTGTCATATGCTGTGCACTGTCCTAGGTGCTAGAGATATAGCAGTGACCAAAACAGAGATTCCTGCCCTTATGTAGCTTATATTCTAGTAGGGGGAAGACAGACAATATACATAAACACAATTAAGTAAATTATATAATATGTTCAAAGAGTACAGAGCAGGAAGTAAACTAAATTAGGGTAAGGGAATGGAGAATGTTAGTGGGTCAGATTTTAAATTGCTTAATCAGAACAGTCTCACCACAAAGATAGCATCTGAACAAAGACTTAAAGGAAATGAAGGAGCAAGCTATAGGAATATGAAAAGGAAGAACATTCTAGACTAAGAGAAGAGCAAGAACAAAGGCCATAAAGCAAGAGAATGCCATGTTGAGAATTACCTGTAAAAAGACAAGGATGAAATTAAGGAGGCCAGTTAGGAGATTGTTGTTATAAGGGAGAAATGCAGGTGACTGAGATTGGTCACCTGCAGGTTATAATAAATTGTCTGATTCTGTTTATATTCTGGAAGTAGGAACAGCATAACTGCTGAGCAGTTGGATGTGGAGTTTGGAAGAAAATAATGAGTCAGTGTGGGTGACTGCAAAGTTCTGGGCCTCAACAACTTGAAGGATGTATGGAGTGGTCATTAACTGGGAGAGTGAAAAATTATGAGTAGGGCTGGTTTGGGCGAGGGAAAGAGACTTGGAGATCACAGAGTGATCTAGAAGAAGGCAAGGAAAATGTTTTGTGTATTCCTCTTTACATCTCTGCCAGCATTATAATTAGCCCATAATTGGCACTAAAAATTATTGAATAAATCAAATAATATATAAGCTAATCTGTACCCTTCCATAGATCAAAGCAGTTTAAGGATAAGTTTTCACAATTTGAGTTACAAACCTTTACCAAAGTCCTTGAAAACAGTGTATACAGGAATACATATTAGTTCAAGTAAAAATTTCTCCAGTTCTACCCTCAAATACAGGACTATTTCAGATTCTTGAGTAAAGGTGGATTGTGTAACAACTTTCTCAAACCATGGCTCCTCCTTGCTTTTTATGGTCCCTGGTGTCCATAGTTTGAAGTTCTACCCTGAAGCGCTATCCTGAAATACATTTGCCCTCTGTTCTGCCTTCATAGTGACACAACTTTAAGTTCATGGTTCTTTTACTATCCTTGTTGAATGCCATCTTTTTTATCGTCTCTGCTAAAGTTCACTTCTGCGAAGAGACTTTCCTTTAATAGGACTACATTACTGCATTGTCCCCACTTTGCTCAGCTGGTAGCCATTCCCTTTTACTTAGAACTCTTCTGTTGTCACTTTTGACTAATACCGCTGCTTATGGCAGGCAGTCAATGTTCTTTTCCCAAGGTTCTGGATATACCTACTGCTCAGTTGGCAGAGCCCACCCTTAATGCCAAAGACTCTGGTGGCCCCATTACTCAGCTGGTTAGTTGTTACCACTTGGCAGTCCTCATGACCTTTGCTGATATAACTTTCTGCTGAACTTTTGTTCTCTGCTAAGCCTCCTGTTTTCTTCTGAAGTAGCGTGTGCCATGGCTAAATCTCTTTGACTTGTTTGCACAGGGATAAGGCTTGTCTCAGTATTTTGGCTGTAAAAAGCTATCCAGAAAGGATGGCAATAAGCAGTCTTAAGGAAGTATCGTTCTCTCACTGGACTAGGCTCTTACATTGGGTTAGCTAGAATAGACTACAGGAGGTGTGACATTGTAAGTGAACCTGAGGTGAGGCACAGGGCAGACAACTCCAGCAAGGCATGGAATGGATTCTGTTTTGCCTTCCCCTTAACTGAGAGGCAACTACCTAACCTATGTGGTAAATGCCTTTCCTCCAAGGTTAGGTTCCCTTAGAGCCCTGTTCATTCCCTTTGTGGAATACAGAGAGCCAAATACAAATGGGCTTAGTTACAATATGTTTACTTCAAAGTTGTCTCTCAGGTCTTTGACAATCCTCTCCCTCACTTAGCCTCATTGATCTTGGAAATAGAAGGAGATTCCTAGATATCATTGAACATTTTGAGGTAGAATGAATCATAAGAGAGCATGTATATCCAATATATTTTCTATGGCAATACTGAAGCCCAAATAGGTTAAGTGTTCTGCCCAGAGTCTTATATCTCTTTAATGGCAAACCTTAAACTAGACTCAGGCCTCCCAAGTCCAGTACCCTTTTCATTATACTTTTGGTAAGATTGTGACTTCAGGCACTGAATGGCATAATGAAATCACACAGTTTTGCATGGCTTATAGAAGGAGGGCACTCTGAACATTGTCAGGTGAGTAATAACTGCCTGTATTTTCAGGGACGTAACAAATCCTGGAAAAGCCACACTTACCACTTGTAGATTTCCATGGTTATATTTCTCCATACATTCTGCCATTTAAATGTTGTTTTTCTTCTCTCTTCTCAAAGATCTTCAGTTTAGATCTTGGAGGCATATCAACTGTGGTTCTAAATGGCTATGATGTAGTAAAGGAATGCCTTGTTCATCAAAGTGGAATTTTTGCAGACAGACCATGCCTTCCTTTATTCATGAAGATGACAAAAATGGGAGGTATGTTTATTTGCACCTATTTAGTGATTTACTAAGCTATTTTAAATCACATTTCTTATTTTAAGTTTTAGTGCATAGAGTTGGGATTATTTTGTACTGATTAATAAGAAACTATTTACTTATAGAACCTGGTATCTGAGGACCTTTCAGGCTGTACTACTTTCATATTTTAGACCAGTACATTGCTAATTCTGTTGTGGTTCAGCTCTAATAAGTATTATAAACTTTTAAAGAATCAGCACCTAATAACATCTGCAGGTTTTGTGAAACAAGTTAGGAATAAACACATACTTGCACTTGAATCCAAAGTGCCCTTTTGAACACAGTCTTGAGTACTTGATGACATTTTTACTATCATTTTACTTAAAAGCTTACAGAACTTGAAGCAGCTTTCTTGACTACTAATCACTGTGATTAGTAGGTGTAGAGTTGCATGGCTTGTGTAAAGGACTAGCGTTCTGTATGGTTTAGTATTGATCAGTGTCGGAGATTCCATATTCAACAAGGGGGAGAGACTGAAAGTTGACAAAATCGGTAAGAAGAAAGCAGCAACAGACAGCCTAAAATAGAATGTTCAAATCACATACAGTGGTTTTAATAGTTAATAGTATAAGACTTTTTACTAAAGTTGTATCCTAAATTCTCTAATATGAGTTTCACATTTAATTTCAAAGAAAAATTTAACAATATCTTGCTTACATAGGCAAAAACTAAAGACATTGATTGAAAAGACAAAAATAAAACTCCTATATTACATCACAAAGGAAATCAACTAATGCAGAGAAAGCACAAATTGTAGAAGACTGAATTCTCAGGCCAGGGTATAATGATACTTGAAAGCAGTAATATAAATAAAAAACAAGCAATTAGACCAAATAAGAAGCCATTATTTAGGTCAATTATAATAGACCTTTAAAAAGATGATGAAAATGAAAGATGATGCAATCACAGTAATATTTGAGACAAAGTATATATTTTTCAAAGCTGTAAATTTATTGTTTAGACTATTTTCATCATAAAGGATTTGACTTAAGATTTTTAAAAACCAGGTAGAAAATTATGTGTTGCTTTAAGTTACTATGTACTGACCTTGGAAGTAGAAAATCATGGCCACTATCAGCCCACTGTGTGAATGGAAAAAAGTTGCCCTTTGGGTGGGCCCAGCGTCATGCCCAGGCACACAGCTTGGCCAGTGTAGGGTTATTATAAACAGTGCTACTCTGTACCTTCTTGTGTATATATCCCATGTGCACATATTTCTCTAGGGCTGGTTTCATCTTGGCACCATTGCACTAGCTGTTCCTTCTAACTACAGTGGTCTTTCCTCAGGTATTTGCTTGTTTCACTTCCTCATCTCCTGTGAGTCTTTACTCAATGTCATCTTCTCAGTGAGCCTTTTGCTGACTACCCTATATCTTTTTACTTGCTATATAATTTATTTGTTGTTTTGTCTGTCTCTCCTACTAGTGTCTAAGCTCTGTGAGGGTAGGGGTCTTTGCTTCTTTTGTTCCCTGATACATTCGTGACACTTAGAACATTGCCTGGAACATAGTAGGTGTTCCACAAATACATGTTAAATGAATATTTGTTGAACGAATAGTCATCTGGGAGTATAGAAAAAAGAATGGACTATGGGAATGTAAGATTGCTACACAGCACTAATGACCCCCTCACATATGGTAACTTTTTAATAAGATCTACATTCAAAAATTATTGCACAATAAGTTGTTGGAATGTAAATTTTGTGTGTACCTCATGTACACAAGAGAATGTGACATTTTTCATTGTGGGTTATGTTAGTCCATTTTGTATTGCTATAAAGAAATACCCAAGGCTGGGTAACCTATAAAGAAAAGAGGTTTAATTGGCTCATGGTTCTGTACACTTTATAGAAAGCATGGTGCTGGCATCTGCTTCTGCCGAGGCCATCTGCTTCTCCTGAAGCTCACAATCATGGCAGAAGGCATTGGAGAAAGCCAGCATGTCATATGGCAAGAGTGGGAGCAACAGAGCGAGTAGGGAGAGGTCCTTAACTTTTAAACAACCAGATCTCACATTAAGTGAGCAAGAACTCACTTATCACCAAGAGGCTGTTGTAAGACCATTCATAAGGGATCTGCCCCTATGATCCAATCAGTTCCCACCATGCCCCACCTCCAACATTGGGAATCACATATCAGTGTTAAATTTATCATAGGTACAACCGTGTCCCAGTAATGAGTGAAATTTTGAGTAAAGTACATGTTACATAAATATGTGCACTGAAGATGTTGAATTAATTTAAGGGGGAAATTTTCCATAGTAGCCACATCAAAACAGCAGATACATTGTGGAGACTCTGAAATTTTAAGGTAGGCAATATCAGCATTAGAAAAGTTTGAGCTTCATGTTTGCCCTTCTTTTGACTTCAGCATTTTGACTATATTGACAGCTCATTCAGAGTTCCCTTACCCCTGTCATAGTTACTTGATTGTCTACCATATCCCTTTAACAGGAGGAAATTTATATTCTAAAATCCATTCTCTTTTAAGCAGAAAATTTCTAATCCTAGAAGGATGATTTTTTAGGTGTTTGTTTAGTCTAAGATAAAATTTTGCCCATTGAACATGCGGTCATTTCTCTTTGGTAAATTAGGCTTATGGTAAAATTTGGATAATATATAGTCACCTGGCCCTATTTCACCAGGTTAAATTACACAAGACTGACTAGCTTCTTGTGGTGGTGCAATTATAGGTCTTTTCTACCAGTCCACAGATAAGGAGTAGAAAACCTTTATCTGTTATAATACTCTGGCTAATGAGTTGCTGAGAACAGGACCCAACCATGTAGTTATATAGGAGTATAATTTGCAGAAGGATGACTAACCATCCATTAAAAAATTTTGTTCCCTTTCATTTTTTAGATACAGAGAAGTAGGAATTATACAATATTTTAATTTTTTTTTCAGGCCTACTCAATTCCAGATATGGCCGAGGATGGGTCGATCACAGACGATTAGCTGTAAACAGCTTTCGATATTTTGGATATGGCCAAAAGTCTTTTGAATCTAAAATCTTGGAAGAAACCAAATTTTTTACTGATGCTATTGAAACTTACAAAGGTAGACCTTTTGACTTTAAACAATTAATAACGAATGCTGTTTCAAACATAACCAATCTGATCATTTTTGGAGAACGATTCACTTATGAAGACACCGATTTTCAGCACATGATTGAGTTATTTAGTGAAAATGTGGAACTAGCTGCCAGTGCCTCGGTCTTCTTGTATAATGCCTTTCCATGGATTGGCATCCTGCCTTTTGGAAAACATCAACAGCTGTTTAGAAATGCATCTGTGGTCTATGATTTTCTCTCCAGACTCATTGAAAAAGCTTCAGTCAACAGAAAGCCTCAGCTACCTCAGCATTTTGTTGATGCTTATTTTGATGAGATGGATCAAGGTAAAAATGACCCATCATCTACTTTCTCCAAAGAAAACCTAATTTTCTCAGTGGGTGAACTCATCATTGCTGGAACTGAAACTACAACCAATGTGCTACGGTGGGCGATTCTTTTCATGGCCCTTTATCCTAATATTCAAGGTGAGGATTCTCTTGATGATCTCAGGGTCTATCCTTACATGTAGGGTTCATACATGTTTTTGAGTCTTAGCCATGCACAATACATTTTCTTTAGGAACTCCTGCTATGCCAGCCAAGGATAGAAATATTTAATAGCTACAAAAAAGAGTTTTCAAATCTATTATCTCAATTCATGTAAAAAAAATCTCTGAAAGAGGTCTTATTATGCTTATTTTATAAATGAGAAAAAACGCTGTATCTGCAAGTGGCAGAGCTGGAACCTGAACTCTGATAGAATTTAAAAAACTAATTTTATGTTTTACTATTTTTCTTACTCCAATTCTAGGTTTGTTTGATGTTTATTCTTATTACTTATGTCTTTCACAATAGAGCTACCCAGAGCACTGGGTACTATTAGTACAAGATATATAGCATATATTTCAACAGAATGGCCAGATAATAAAAAATCTGAATCTGGATGTATCTGTATCCTATTGGCTTGTTATTGGTTATCATTTATTTTATTCCAGAGGGAAATAACTTTAGCTATAATTCTAAGAATTGCATAATAACTTGAATACTTTTTCTCTGACAGGACAAGTTCAGAAAGAGATTGATTTAATTATGGGCCCCAATGGGAAGCCTTCTTGGGACGACAAATTCAAAATGCCTTATACTGAGGCAGTTTTGCATGAAGTTTTGAGATTCTGTAATATAGTTCCATTAGGGATTTTCCATGCAACCTCTGAAGATGCAGTTGTACGTGGTTATTCCATTCCTAAAGGCACAACAGTAATTACAAATCTTTATTCTGTACACTTTGATGAAAAGTACTGGAGAGACCCAGAAGTGTTCCATCCTGAGCGATTTCTGGACAGCAGTGGATATTTTGCCAAGAAGGAAGCTTTGGTTCCTTTTTCCCTAGGTAAGAGAACTTTCACAGGGGCGTAACTTTAGAATAAAGGATAATGATAATTGATTAGATATAGCATCTTAATCTGAAGCATCCTCTTGTAGAATTAAATATCCCAATTCTAAAAACACAGAACTGATTCTTACAGGAGAGAATGATTTAATTGGAAGTAATTAACACCTGTTTCTGCTTAATATAAGCCTTAATTTATCAACTATAGATGGACTTTTGAGAACCCCTGGCTTCTTCTAAAACTGTTTTTGCCTGTGGCTTTTTTGCCCGTAATCAAAACTTGTGGAATGAGAAGCCAGTAACCCAGAGAGGGAAAAGATACAGTCACTTAAGTAAAACTAGAATCTCACTATCTTGGCTTCTGGTTATTGTATTTCATCTTCAACTAGGAAAATATTGCTGCTTCTGTGAAAAGGTACAAAAGACCCATGGAAAATGGACTAGAAACTCTTCCCCTTCATTGGGGAAGAACACACACTTAGTTTAAATGAAGCGGACTTTTCTTGAGCAAAATGTCTCACCTCAAATTAGATCTTTTGTGGCATATCTTAGGCTCTGTTGCAGCATGGGAGGGAAGTGGGAGATGGAACTAAAGTCTTACAAAAGTCCATGGTCTGACAAAAGGAGGTAAATGTATGGGTTCTAGGAGCTGAAGGGTCAAATCCTATTCTTTGAGATTTAAGAGAATCCTTTAATAAACATAATTCCCTCTTACTTTCTTTAAATTCCAGATTTCCTGAATGACACCCAAATATTAGACATTAATTTTGGTAAAGATTGTGGGTTTAAAAAATTATTATATCTGCTTTTTCTGTTTAGGGAGAAGACATTGTCTTGGAGAACAGTTGGCTCGGATGGAAATGTTCTTGTTTTTCACAGCATTGCTTCAGAGGTTTCATTTGCATTTTCCACATGAACTAGTTCCAGATCTGAAGCCCAGGTTAGGCATGACATTGCAGCCCCAACCCTACCTCATCTGTGCTGAAAGACGCTGAAAGTGCCTGGATGTTTTCGGGAGCAAGGATGTATATTTGCCTTATCCCTGAACTTGGTTTAATCAAATCAATGTGTGTATTAGAATAAAAGTCACAGCATCATAAAGCCAAATGAACACAGATGTGTCTTAAAATAGTACTGGAGCAGAAACAAGCACTAGTCATGATTGCTTTTCAAGATTTTATGACTTCTGGGGTGAAATTCTCTGTTGAGAGACACAAAGGTGCAAATGATGGGTGTTGCTTAAAATGCTAAGAAGAGTCATGGATGCCCTAAGCAGAGCATCTTGTTTAGTAGCAGGTACTTTTATCCCTTCCTGACTTCATCTGGCTTCTGTCCTGGGGGGCCTTGGTTCCAGAAACCAGCTCCCTTCTGATCAGGTATTGTCATTAATGAACTGTGTGGTACCAGTCCAGTTTAATAGAGGACTACAGAAGAAATTAAAACCCAAATAAATGAGTTTGGACTTTAGAGGTATTTTAGATATGGTGGGAGATTGTAGAGGAAATATGTATTTAATGTAGAGCCTGCCAGTGCTTTCGTATCTTACTCCCTGCTCTGTCTTCATAAGAACTGTGTCACACTTCTTATAAATGAGGGTCTGTGTGACCCTGAGTGTCCACCTTCATAGCAGCAGTTAAGTAGATAGGACATTACAATAATATATTTAAAATTTTAAATGATACATAGTTGTTGAATCTTTGTTGGCACATTTTCCCTGGCACCACTTCTTTCTAAAACTAATCACAAGGATTAAAGATTGAATTCACTTATATCTTTTAGAGGTCTCTAGGCATTTCCATGGGTTAGTGTTATTTTTCTAAAGATAATTATATTCAAATCCAAAAACATGCTCTAGAGATAGGGTAACTGTGTAAACTGGGACTCTTGAGAGGGAATGGGGTCCTCCTATTCATAGTTATATCAGGACAACAAGAGTAAATTGTGACTGCCCTAAACAAACTGGAATGTATATTGACCCATTTATAGCTATTTTTACATCATCATTTCTTATAAAGTTGTGAAATTATGGGTACATGCTCTTGTAACATGGCTCATGAATAGTTGCAGCCTCAGAGTCAGCACACACAACAATGACTTCTATTAAGAATATGGATTTAACCTTAGTTTGGACTTACCTGTTGAACAGTTTCAAGTTTGTGTGTTATACATCAGGAGTCTGCATCTTGGATATATTCAGATGTTTCCAGTTGCAAGGGGAAGAAAATCCTTGCAAGTTCACTTAAATAATAAAAGGGAAATTTGGAGGAAGGGTGGAAGTTTTAGGGTCCATATGGCTTAGATGTTACATGGTGTAATCAAAGATTCTGCTTCTTCCCACTTCTCAATTTTGCCTTCCAGATGATACCAGCTTTATCTTAAGGCTAGCTCATGGAGTACATGTGCTTTGCCCACCTCCATACAGAGAAAGCAAGCTTAGATCATTTCTGGGAGAGCAAGGGAATTTTTTAAATGCCCCCAGAAAACTGTTTTTTGTGTCCTATAGGTTCTGAGTTATGTGCCCATCCATTAATTTAAAACTATGGTTTGTGAGTGTAATTATGGTTCACTTAGCCTGAACATATGCCTGACTACTAGAAGTAGTCATGGAGTTGGCTTCTTCCAAAATACATGTGCTACATATGGGTGGTGTAGTTATCTAAACAAAACTAGGGCTAATTATGAAGAGAAGAAGAACTATAAGTCAGAAGACCAACTATAGTGTCTGCCTCACTTGCTAAGCCAAGCAACTTTCCAACCTACCTTCCTGAATCTTTCTGTAATTATTTTATTTTAGTTTTTCAGAGATAGTTGTCTAGGCTGGTCTTGAACTCTTGGGCTCAAACAGTCCTCTAAGCTCGGCTTCCCAAAGTGCTGGGATTACAGGCATGAGCCACCACACCCAGCCCCAACCTTCCTGAATCTTGACAGACATATTCAGGTTGCTCCTTAATCTTTGCTCGCTCTTTGACATAGCAAATCTGTCATCCCAGGGTCTCCTACTTACTGTCATATCTGCTATAAGAGCCTAAGTTGAACTTTAAGGTAGTTTTACTGGGTAAAACAACTTAGTGAACTGAAGTAGATTATAATAAAAGTTGAGGAGGCTTTCTTTTGCTTTTGAGTACTACCACTACTGCTGCTAGTACAATTTAGGAACTCCATAAATCTATGCAGAATGAAGATCATGCTATTTTCACAGGTTAATTGTCAAGCCAGACAAATTATAAAAGATGTAGCTTCATCAACTTTTAAAGGTAGAAGAACCTTAACTTCACTTAATGTGCTCATTTTATAGCCAAGGAAATAGAGGTTTACACAAGGGAAGTGAATTCTCTAGATCACGGCAGAGGCATGCCTTATTTCATTCCATATTCCTTTTATTCACACCCAATAATTTATCTTACACTTTACAATTTATAAGGCTGTTTTTCATTATACTTTCAACTTGATTATTTGGAACCAGTTAGCTGTGGTAAAAATAAAATGCTACACTTTTGGAAAAATATAAATTAACATGAATTAGTAAGTAATCCATACTGGAAAAATCTGTTTTTTGAAATTACATTGTAACAGATACGTTGGATCTGTGCAATAGGATGCCTTCTCTCTTATCAGTTAGTGCTAAGCTACTGATTCAAATGTTAGAGATCTAATTTCTGATTCAACAAGTGAGCACGCTTGTTTTTTCTCACCTATCACTGAAATAACCATTAAGGATAGAAAATGGAATAAAGGCATTGAGAATACGGGTGGAGGGCAATGTTAGTGGATCAGATACTTTGAAATTTTAGGAGATGGAAGGTGAATGGAAAAATATAGAAAACCACAAACAAAACCATGCATAGACGAAGCCAGAGGTGGAGATGGGAGCCCATTCTTCATGGGCTAGCTATGGAGAAAATCAGTACATAAGGAGAGAAGTAGGTAAGGATAACTTTTTCTAAAAGTGGAAAGAAATCAAGCAGATTTACTGGGATAAACAGCTGAACAATTTGCCCCGTCTCATTTTCTTCTCCTGTTTGTGCAGTTGTAGAATTTGCCTCCAAGTGCTGAAATAAGTATAAATAAATTTGGGTTCCTATGCCAAGGAGATGGTGGTGCTCCTACCTGGAATTGGTGCCCTACATTGAGGGCTCCCTAATTTTGTCTGCTTTAAACGGTAAGTTCTCTAGCGCCTAAACGGTTAATCAGGTGTGAGGACAAGTTTCAGTGAACCAAGTGATGACTGGGGAAACATCAACAAAAGGACTAGCTTTGAGCATTGAATAAATTTAAGTATAGAACTAAGACAATGGTGGCATAAATGTGACAATACTATCTGTTTTATACTCATAAAAATAATGCATCTAACAAAAAATGAGAAGAGGAGAAATGGTAGAACACAGAATAAGTTCTTTGCTTCATATAGTTAGAATTCAAAAGATATAGTTTAAAAGTGACAAGTAGTAGACGTTTAAGAATATTTAACAGTACAAGAGTAAAGGATAATATTGCCTTAAATTGGGTAGTGGGAGATAAGAATATGTACAAGCTAATTTTTTAATTTATAGATGAGAAGCAGATACTATAAAGAAATGGGGTCCAAAGACAGTATAACTATTGCCACTGAATCAAAGATACACACTTTCTTAAACGTCATAATTAAAATGAGTTTTTAAGAAAAGAGCAAATAATATGAAGAATTAAGTCCTTACAGTCACATGAATAAATATAAATGGGCTTATCTCACCTATCAAAAAGGTGTTCATATAATATAGCATTGAATTTGATTTCAGACCAAATCCAATGCTATATTATTGTTGTATAGAAGAGATACTTAAAACATAGGTTAAAGGTTGAAAATAAAAGGACGGTTAAAGACATGCCAGGAAATACAAATAAAAAGAAAGCAGGAGTCATGATCTTAATAAAACAAGGCAGAATTCAAGTCAGAAAACATAAGACAAAAAAGTGCACTTTGTAATTCTAAGTACTATAATTCATAAGGACTTTATAACAGTTATAATACCACACCAAATAACAACTTTCATAAGGCAGAAATTATAAGACATGCAAAAACAAATAGGTAGAAGTACCTTAATACTGAGAGCCATGTTACCCAGGTTGGTCTCGAGCTCTTGAGCTTAAGAGATCCACCCACCTCGGCTCCCAAAGTGCTGGGATTACAGTGTGAGCCACCACACCCAGCCAAGAATAAGGAATTTTTCTGTGTAGTGATATGGTGAGATGTCCAGGATAATGAAACAAAGATACAGAATGCAGCAGTGTTAGCAAGCAAAAAGGGCTCATTGTCAATGTACCAGAAGCCAATACTATGACACAGTTTTTGAGAAAAGCTTGATACTCAAAGTAGCCTTCCAACTATTTGCTGTTGACTCCCAGATCCATACTTGTAGCCCATATCACTTTTCTGAATTCCATACCTACACTGAAATACACTTGGTTGTCTCAAGCCTCTTAATCTCACTTTGCTCTAATCTGAATTCGTCTCTTCACTCTCTAACACATCCAAAATCAATTCCTCTGATATACCCTAACTCAGTGAATGATATTGACAGCTGTCTAAATCTGAAATCTGGGAGCCACCCTTAATCTTTCTTATCCCCATACCAACTCCATATTAAATCATAACTCTGTTCATGTCGCTGTGGTCCACAATCTATTCCAGTCAATATCGCCAAGCACTCCCTATGTCTAAATCTTGCTCTGCCATTCTGTCAAAAGACAAAATTAACAACAAATTGTTACAGATGTAATTGGCTTTTATTCTAGATTCATGTATCAGGTAACTTGCATTCTACAAAATAGAATGAAATTCCCACTGGGTAATGGCAGAACAGTGGGTTTTGTAAGGATGGGAACAAGGAAACAGAATAATAGAAAAATAAAAACTGATCAGTTATCACTAGGTTACTTCAGATTACGTCTTCTTTGTACAGGTTAAAGCAGCGGGGACTTCCTTGATTATGCTCAGATAGACTGGAATCTCCTGTTTTGAGAAAAAACTAGTCTGGGGATCAATGTATTTCCTTAAAGTTTCAGTTTGATTGTGTGGCATTTAGTATGAATGACTCCATTTTGCTTTGGTCTGGTCTATTGGGGCCTAGGTGC